TTAGGAAATAGCATTATTAACATTTATTTTAAYATTTATACATTTAATACTGAGTAAAATAATAATACAAACTCTACCAATTTAATTATATTGTATGCCAAATGTATTAATCTAATACTGATGTACTAATAATTACATAAAATAAATTTATACTGAAAAAGAGAAATATTTTCTGAAATGAAAATCCGTTAAGAAAGAAAATATTATAATTATTGTCTATTATAATATATTATACCAATATATCATATCTATAATACCTACTGTTGTTTTTTTTATTGTTATTATTATATAAGAAATACAAATTAGTACTTGATAAATTATTTCACACTTGCAATTCATAAATATCCAATATTTCCTACTTCATAGATTCTTAAATATAATTGTGTGAAATCAAAGACCAGTTCATACATTTTTCTAAAAACTTTCCTCTCAAATAACCCAAGTCTTTCTTCGGCTTTTCTCAGTGCCCATATTTCAGAAYCATTGGGAAAATAGTTCGTAAAAATATCAAATACATTCGTATTGTTAAATTCTTAGAGAGGGTCCTAGATCTTAGTAATTTTTCTAATTCATAGTATCCCTTATTACCTAATTGTATTCTCGACCACACCTCCGCTTTATGTTCATGATCTTGAGTAATAATAGTTGCCAGATATTTAAACTGTGATAATTTGCTAAATGTATATCCTTCTAACTTAATATGTTGTTCTAGTCCTTAATGTCTCTTACTTCGGCTGATAATCAAGTATTCCGCCTTATCATTGTTAACATTTAACCCTCATTTTTTCWTGGCCTTTATAAGTTTTTACTTCAGACATTTTATCCTCACGATATCATCATCAAAGAGAACGATATCGACCACGTATGTAAAGAGTCCTATTGTTATCTGTCTAAGCTCAATTCCTTCTGAGAGGAATTTCTCGTTATATTTGTTCCAGTACCAGGTTAAACAACACTGAGGACAGTACATTCACTTGGTAGAGACCTGTTGTCACCCTGAGATTTACGATTTTACTTGGGAATCTAAATTTATCAGGTATATTTATTAGGCTTTTTCTACGGATAGAATCATAGGCTTTTTTAAAATTCACAAACAAAATGTGTATATTTTTATTATATTCCCACCTTTATTGGAGGATATGTTTTATTATGAAAATCTGATTCATTGGGCCTAAATCTTCCCCGATAGTCTCCTTGTAAAGTTTCCGCTATGGTCCTTACTCTTTCCTGTATACAGTATGCCAGGACTTTATTGGTTGTATCAAKTAACGCTATACCTTTATACTACATTCTTGTGGATTATTTTTTTTTTCGGTGTGTGTGAAAAAGATAAATTAATTTAGTACCCCAGTCCTTCGGAAGTCTTTCTTTATGCCAAATACTCTTTATGATACAATGTAGTCTATTTATTGTTCTCACGTCCAGGCTTTTAGTACTTCTTGGATTCCGTCSTACACAAGAGTTTTATGGTTTTTATAGCCTGTTAAGTTGTAAAATTCCTTCTTTGTTTGATTGCGGATAATAAGTGTCATTGGGTTCTGTTGGCATCCATCCAAATGTTTCAACTGATTTTTCATAATTAAGTAATAATCAAACATACTGTCTCGATTTTTCAATACCTTGGCTTAGTCAGTCACTCGAGAACCATCGTCATTTTTAAAGAACATTTATGTTATTTCAGGCTTCCTTTTTTTTTTTTTTTAGCTTCTATAGCCCATTTAGGGACTTCACTGCTTCTACTATTTGACGCCATCTATCTCTATCCACACAATCTTCTAATTTTAATCCTGGAGCACATTTATTCAGATCTGATTTGACTAAGTCCATTCACCTCTGTCTTGGACGCCCTCTGGGTCTTTTCCCGTTCATAGTGCCAATCATTACGCCTTTTATTATATCAGTAGATCACCCTTCTTTAATTAAATTTATTTTCTGTTATAGTTGTCGAGTTCTATTAACCCTATGATCAATCTCGGCTTCTTCTAATATATCTTTTGTATATTTTAATTTTTCATATCTAAAGATATTATTTGCTTTTTATTGACATTCTTTGTATGCCATCACTTTCTCTCTACAAGTGGGGTCAATGAGCAAATGAGTCCTACCTTTTTCCTTCAATTAAATTTTTCTTTGTAGGGATTGATGAACCACAGTTTCTTGTTCCCTTTTGTTTGGTTATTAATGTTTGTGTCTGTGGCCGATTTTTAAAGCACCCTTAACCCTTAAATTTCCATTTAGTATCAGTTGTCTCTTTTTGATTTATGTTTAAACTGATCAATGGTTCATTYAATTGTTATTTGAAAATTCTACATATATTGATATCCTTTAACTTATTAACTTATTCAACTCATATCTAACTACTAATGTTTCTTTTCTAGATATCAGTTTATTAAGTTTTACTTTTAGCTTTCCTTTTACTAGGTAGTGATCTGTATCATGGTTAGCTCTTTTTGACTATTTTGACATCGTGTACACAATTTTTGAACATAGTAATAATCAGGATATGGTCTATCTAGTAACATTTTTACTATACATTACATTGCCTTCTTTTATGTCGGAACGTTGTGCAAAAGGATTCGATCCTGTCTGTGTTTTGCCAAAATATACATACCTATCGATTTTGGATATTCCAATTATTGTTAGTGTCATAATGAAAAATATCATATTTTTTTGATGTTTTTATTTTTGGAGATCACAGCTGAAAAAATAATATTCAAAATCACCTCAATCATTCCCTAGTAAACTTGTTGATTATTCATAATCCGTTTTCAAAATTATAATCTGTCAAACCAAATTTTTCCAGTTTTGTCTAGCTTATTGGTCTAAAAGTTACTTTTTTTAAATGGCTGCAGCCCCCTTAATATTAATATTTGGATTTACTTTAAGCATAATAGCCTACCTTATAAATAAAATACAAATCATAATAATTCAATTTGTTTCAAATTTCAACTCGTAGTACGCTATTCCTGTAATCTTCAATGTACTATGTATAATATTATTACTATTCCATCATTTGATAAACTTTGTATACGTTGATATATTGTGTATAACTAGCATAGCCTATGAAAGCAGCTCATCGGTTTCTAGGACTATTAAAATATAACATAAAAAACWTTATTTGTATTGATTCAACAACTCAATTGTCATGACCGATTAGTGGAAAAGTTAATTAATTATTCTTGAATAGAATTTGGAAAGCTAGAGCAAGTTAATGATAGTTTTTAACTGAATTAAGTTAAGTTGATGAAAAACATTTTAAAATGTTTAAGCTTAACAGTTAAGCAAACTTTTTTTAACTCAGTTAAGTATTTTTAATTAATTAACTAATTAAATTCTCAACTTAAGTTATTATAATTATTATTATTATTATTTTTAAATATCTATACAAATACCCAGTAACCCAACCCGGAGCCGAGAATGAAAATTGAATGCAATTGGGCTATGATAATTGTACACAGACAATATTGGCTGTCTATAAACATAAAATTTTGAAATATAAATATGTGTGAGCATATGTATTCAGTTGGTTTTAATTTAAAAATAACTGATTTATAGCAAAAATATTTTAGTRTATGTTCTTGAGAATTATTATACATTTGTGATTACTGAATTATATATATATATTCGTATAATAGTGTACCTATTGATATAATAATACTAGCTCACCTGGAAAACGTTGATTTGCTATTCAAATTATTTCTAATGCATGAATTAATAGTCAAATAAAAAATAACTAAATTATTAAAATTGTATGTTGATGTGTTTTATTAGCATATGACTAAAAAAGAGTTTAGCACTGGGAACAATAACAAAACATCAAATATTTATTTTTTTAAATTCATTGTAGGTACTTTTGTCATCTTCTCTAATAAATTTTAAATTACATCTCTATTACACATTATGAAAATTAAAAAAAAAACTTTATCTGTCTCATAGTGCAATGAAGTGTACGATATTTTTAGTG